TTCTTCAATATTGAAGAATATTCTTCAATATTGAAGAATATTCTTCAATATTGAAGAATATTCTTCAATATTGAAGAATATTCTTATTGAAGAATATTGAAGATTAAGAATAATATTGAAGAATATTCTTCAATATTGAAGAAATATTGAAGAATATTCTTCAATATTGAAGAATATTCTTCAATATTGAAGAATATTCTTCAATATTGAAGAATATTCTTCAATATTGAAGAATATTCTTCAATATTGAAGAATATTCTTCAATATTGAAGAATATTCTTCAATATTGAAGAATATTCTTCAATATTGAAGAATATTCAATATTGAATATTGAAGAATATTGAAGAATATTCTTCAATATTGAAGAATATTCTTCAATATTGAAGAATATTCTTCAATATTGAAGAATATTCTTCAATATTGAAGAATATTCTTCAATATTGAAGAATATTCTTCAATATTGAAGAATATTCTTCAATATTGAAGAATATTCTTCAATATTGAAGAATATTCTTCAATATTGAAGAATATTCTTCAATATTGAAGAATATTCTTCAATATTGAAGAATATTCTTCAATATTGAAGAATATTCTTCAATATTGAAGAATATTCTTCAATATTGAAGAATATTCTTCAATATTGAAGAATATTCTTCAATATTGAAGAATATTCTTCAATATTGAAGAAGATATCTTCAATATTGAAGAATATTCTTCAATATTGAAGAATATTGAAGAATATTCTTCAATATTGAAGAATATTCTTCAATATTGAAGAATATTCTTCAATATTGAAGAATATTCTTCAATATTGAAGAATATTCTTTGAAGATTATTCTTCAATATTGAAGAATATTCTTCAATATTGAAGAATATTCTTCAATATTGAAGAATATTCTTCAATATTGAAGAATATTCTTCAATATTGAAGAATATTCTTATTCTTCAATATTGAAGAATATTCTTCAATATTGAAGAATATTCTTCAATATTGAAGAATATTCTTCAATATTGAAGAATATTCTTCAATATTGAAGAATATTCTTCAATATTGAAGAATATTCTTCAATATTGAAGAATATTCTTCAATATTGAAGAATATTCTTCAATATTGAAGAATATTCTTCAATATTGAAGAATATTCTTCAATATTGAAGAATAATATTGAAGAATATTCTTCAATATTGAAGAATATTCTTCAATATTGAAGAATATTCTTCAATATTGAAGAATATTCTTCAATATTGAATATTGAAGAATCTTCAATATTGAAGAATATTCTTCAATATTGAAGAATATTCTTCAATATTGAAGAATATTCTTCAATATTGAAGAATATTCTTCAATATTGAAGAATATTCTATTGAATATTGAAGAATATTCTTCAATATTGAAGAATATTCTTCAATATTGAAGAATAATATTGAAGAATAATATTATTGAAGAATATTCTTCAATATTGAAGAATATTCTTCAATATTGAAGAATATTCTATTGAAATATTATTGAAGAATATTCTTCAATATTGAAGAATATTCTTCAATATTGAAGAATATTCTTCAATATTGAATATTATTCTTCAATATTATTCTTCAATATTGAAGAATATTCTTCAATATTGAAGAATATTCTTCAATATTGATTGAAGAATATTCTTCAATATTGAAGAATATTCTTCAATATTGAAGAATATTCTTCAATATTGAAGAATATATTGAATTCTATATTGAAGAATATTCTTCAATATTATTCTTCAATATTGAAGAATATTCTCAATATTGAAGAATATTCTTCAATATTGAAGAATATTCTTCAATATTGAAGAATATTCTTCAATATTGAAGAATATTCTTCAATATTATTGAAGAATATTCTTCAATATTGAAGAATATTCTTCAATATTGAAGAATATTCTTCAATATTGAAGAATATTCTTCAATATTGAAGAATATTGAAGAATATATTGAAGAATATTCTTCAATATTGAAGAATATTGAAGAATATTTGAAGAATATTCTTCAATATTGAAGAATATTCTTCAATATTCTTCAATATTGAAGAATATAATATTGAAGAATATTGAAGAATAATATTCAATAATAAGAATATTCTTCAATAGAAGAATGAAGAATATTCTTCAATATTGAAGAATATTCTTCAATATTGAAGAATATTCTTCAATATTGAAGAATATTCTTCAATATTGAAGAATATTCTTCAATATTGAAGAATATTCTTCAATATTGAAGAATATTCTTCAATATTGAAGAATATTCTTCTTCAATATTGAAGAATATTCTTCAATATTGAAGAATATTCTTCAATATTGAAGAATATTCTTCAATATTGAAGAATATTCTTCAATATTGAAGAATATTCTTCAATATTGAAGAATATTCTTCAATATTGAAGAATATTCTCCAATATTGAAGAATATTCTCCAATATTGAAGAATATTCTTCAATATTGAAGAATATTCTTCAATATTGACGATTATTCTTCATAACTCAATATACCTAAATATTCTTCATTATTATTCCTCCAAACTATATTTCTTATTACTATGAAGAATGAAATTAAGAGTATTATTCAATGTTTAATATTAAAATAGTGTTGAAAATGATTTTTTGTCTATCATATTTAATGTTTATTATTAGAGTTTACAAATGGAGGTATCTTTTTCGGAAAACAACCTCAGAAACGTCTTCAATGATAGTTTTGTGGAAAATGAAAACCATTCAATTTCCATCAAAGCACGTTTATATATAATACACTATATACATACGTACATATCACCGGTAACTAAGACATAACACAACAGGTTGTTAACAAAAATATACACAAAACAACCTTCAATTCAATTGTATTTATTATTCTCTCAATAAACGTATCTCAAAGGAATACAGTAGTTTAGGGTATTTCTACTCCCCCTCTACTTGCACAACCTCAAGGGGGGGGGGGGGGTGGCGCCGCACACATTCAGTGACTACAAATACACAATACAACAATCCTGTTTAATATAGTAGGCACAGCATATAAATGTTAAACTCTTGCCCCACATTTCTTCTAGCTCCGAGGTACAGTGTATCATAATGATATCACACATCAAAACAATTTGAACTGGTACACTACTTATTGATAACTATACAAACTTACATACTGTTGGGTCAAGTTATTTATTAACCTTCAAGTATGTTATTTCAGACAATTTCACTAAATAATAGTCAACTACTCACTAGTACCTTAGGAAATTTCTACCCCTTCAAGCCGCACAATTTCACTCAGTACAAATACAACAATCCAATTTAACAATTCACGTTAATATACTCTTACATACTACTATATTAGTGTACATCAACCACACTCAATTTAAACACATTAACGCTTAAACATAATATTCTCCTCCAACCTACCCCTTAAGGGTACTGCTGAAATTAGTTTCTAAGAGGAGGGGGGGGACATTTCCGGAAGCTAACTGGGCAAGTGTCATTAATGGATAAAGCAAGGCTGATACCCTGTGGGGAGAACTCTGACACGGAACACTGCCACAGGGCAAAGGAGTGACTAGAGGGGAAAGGAAGAGAAAACCATCTTCCAGGAAACTAGTCGCTAGCGAACTAAGGTAACTACCAACCAGACCACAACTTTACCGGGAAAAACACACAAAAAAAAAAAAATTTCAATAAAGGTTGGTGGGGGGGGGGGGGGGGAGGAACAGTTACCGTATCTGAGTCAAGCCCACAAGTTATTCCAGGGGGAAGGATCTAGCAAGCAATAATTCATTTCCAACTATTCAAATAAATTAATAATATAAAACAACCAAACAATGATTTTTATGACCACTATGTATATATTATCAAATCAATATACAAATCAAACAATATTTCAAATATAATAAACACGTCTTAACGCCCAACATGCTTGCGTCCGGATTGACAAATTATAAGGATGGTAACTGAGTCCGTTACAGTGATCTCCAGTGTATGTTGCCCTCCGAAACATGTTACAGCTCAATAGTAACCCTAACAAACTGCCTTAAGAGCCGTGAATCAGTTTAGTGTCAATGAGCATCTGCGAGCACCAGTAACACAGCTTTAAGATCTCGGGATCTGAGGCAAAGTGAAATGGACACCAGGAACGCTACGGATCCGTATTTGTAACACGTATCCATAAAGCCGACGCCTGCAAGGCCGCATATTTATATGACCATTATCAATATAATACCTGAATAACATCGCCGGCTTAACTATCACACTAACAACGTTGGCTGCAGAGCACGCTTACAACAAACTACGTTTCATTTCCTTCACGCACCCTATGTATCCAAAACATTGACATCCTACCATAGCATACCTTTCCTATCAATATACATCTTCCATATTTTTACTATATTTCCTTCTTTTTATGCTATTTCGGTATATATAGTTTTACTTTCACCTATGTATTTATGCTTTTATATATATCTATACCTATCATATATAAACACATTATCAAAGTTACTATATTTACACTACTATTAACATATAACCTACGTCCATATATTTCTCCTAAAATCATTCCTCCATATTAATCTCTTTCACTACCTGTCATAATTACATTTCAAAACTATAATACACATTTACATCAGTTCAATCTCATCATTGGCAATTTACACACACACCTTTAAAACATTAACTTTTCAACATCAATTTCCTATAATCAACTATCATTTCTGCCTTTCATTACAAATTATTTTAACATTCTATAAAATTCCTAATTTCACATTTATTTTACTTTATATACATTACCATACATTCCTCTTACATGATCATTTTCTATTCTACATATCCTCAATCTACATTTTCACACTATCAACTCAACCCCTGCTGCTTAAATACCACACAAACGGCTCAAACACTTCATCCTGGACGTAATGTCAACAAAACTCACATGACATCAAACATACAAACTCAACATAATAAAATACAAACAACACAACTCTACACTAATCAAACAACCTCCATAACAATAACCAACGTAAAAACAACAATTAACACCCACAACATCCATCTCGACTTTCACACTCACACATAATGCCTAAAAACAACCCCCCACATAGGCAATCTCCATACACAGCAAAAACTGCTACTTTTTCTTCTCAGTACCTAAAACATTCGTCTCTTTACAACTTTCATAATTACGTCATTTAAACACTGTTCTTAATCACTTATTATTATTTTACTTTACATTCAATTATAACCATCAAACAATTCATTCATTTTATAATGTATACATTTACGTCATTTAATACACTAATTATTAACTCCCACAACATATTTACTATACACCTTCCATAACATTCTCTTCACACATTTTCAACAACTTCACCCAACATTTCTTTCAAAACAAACATTGTGCACACTCTTTCAACATATAATACTTAACTTCATTAAACAGTCTACTAAATATTATACCAAAATATCACTACATTATCATCTCTCCTTAACACTTTCCCCTTACACGTAACAAATGATATTTAAACAACAGTTTCGATTCCAATCCATCTTCATTACTCGATTATTTTTGGTCACAATTATATACGCCTTTCTCTTCATATGCGTCGCATCATCCTTGTCTTCAACAATATTATTTCTTGCACATCACACTCTCCTTCAGTTCGACGTCACACTCCGCTGGCCTGCGGTCCCTCTACCAATCAACCACCATTATTACCATCTTCTCGCAAATCTAGAACATAATATGGGTATAGATTATTATTACACTTACCACTAACTTTCTATCTTACCATACTAACACACCCCCCCAAACATTTAAATTAACTATTCCCATTTATTAATATACCATTCTTCAACCTATATACTATAATACATCACTTATCATTCATATCTATTCACTATACAATTCTTTATAACATTTAGAAATCATAACACTTTGTAGTATTTTAGTTTTAAAGAGAACATTCACGTAACATTCTCATTCAACATATATTTTATTATTTACCTATCGTTTCTATCACTTATATTCCCTACAATGCATATTTCATTTACTTATCACCACTACCTACAACTATGTATTCATTAATCATCTACTTCAACTACTTACTAATCATTCACCACACATCTACTGTCCTCTATGATCACACTAACGACCCGCCTTCTACGGCACTTCACCCACCCCTCAATTTCTGTCTATTTCTTTTTTATATACTATTAACAATTACATTCCCACACAACATTCATTCTATATCAACGACTCTGCACTACAACAAACTCAATACATCATTCTTTGGTACCTTCTATGCAACAAACTGCAACTTCTTCTACATTCAACACTTGCACCTCTCTCCCTTAACTACCTACAAACGATGTTATCCACGTCTAAGCTACTCAAGCCTTTCACCTGCCGATTTTCATTATACCATTATTAACATTCATATACTACACATTTCCATTATCAACATTAGTAGTTCTAATACACAAACACTCTTCGAAAACTAGACGGTCCCCAACACCACTATCAACAATTTTCAACACGCCCAAACTCTCACCCTATCGACAATTATTCACTACTCTGAACTTTCCAAAAACACACATTTTTGCCCTAAATGAAACCATACAACCCTAACGATTTTACGAAACTATCATTTCTGTACATTTTACACACCTTAATGACTCGCATTTTAACGCTACTTGCTTTTCATTAAAACCACTCGACATGACCAATAACACCACTGTAGTAGTGCTCCAACTGCCAATTTTATTTCACCACAATATCAACATAACACCATCCAACAACAAATCCGTTATTCCACAACCCACACAATTATTGCATGCCCAAAATCTACTCCATCATTGAACAATGTTTCACTTAACCTATTTCCAACTCAATCACGTCAAACACTGCCTATCGTCATAAAGTCAATTTCATTAACTACAACTCTACAGTGACTGCCGCTTCAATATACACGACTCCCTTAAGCCAGGTACACTTGCCTTTCTGGCTACGTTAGTAATCATAAACTACTTAATTTAACACCTATGTAACGTACGCTTCAACACTAACTCCTTCAACTATGAGCTTTTCGCGCTCTTAACATTACGACTCATCCCCTATTTTCAGTTTCACAGTAACTTTATTAATCCCTACTTTGTCTTATTGCAACAATTTCTCACTCAAACATGACTCACTAAATGACATGTTCTATTATTAAACCATTTCCTAACTGTGTCAACGATCACGTTATATCAACAAAAATACAACACTAAAACACCATCTATTTCCACTTCACTAATACATTTCTCACAATATAAACTCATTTCCGGTCACATTTAACTTACCCTAACTACTCTCCGCCGCCTCAACGTGAAAATCAAACCCCAAACAACATATTTCACTCACATTTACTATGTAGTAAACGGCAAATACCTTAAACCTATCAACACAACAAGTCACCCAAACACCTCACACACTACCAAGTCTTGACGATAACTGAACTGCCAGCGTCTCCCTCTGGTCATCCACACAGCCCAGGGGTCATGACAATAGGCACGATATTACCTCAAACAAGGCAAAACTTTATGCTACAAATACCATTCATTCAATCATCCCTATACCATAACTTTAATGACAACGTGTACTTTGTTTCAGTAAACTATTTTATTGTAACTGCTCATTTCAATTCACATTTTTAAAATCTTACATCAAACCTGCATATGCAACGGCTTTTGGACCTCTTACACCATCAGAGGGGGGGAACCCACACCTAATATTTACTATGGTTCTCAACATTTCACTTTACATGATTCAACATCTATTTACAACTTAACCAAGCTACCATTCAAATATTACCAGCCGTAACTACGTATTTAATAACTACTTGCCTTAACATTTTGTTCTATCATGTCAAACTCAAGTAGCACATCTACCTCAACCCGCACATCTCCCACCAGCGTCTGCTCGGCTCCCACCGGTCGGACTCAAATCAGTCCAACACTGGTCCCATCACAACGTTTCTCTCCTCCACATTCTACTCATTTCACGAAACCCGTCACCTTAAAACAATTGCCACATTCAATAATAACCATGCAATTTCTAAAAGACATTTCACTACATACTTCATATTTATATTTTAGTACTCATTATGGGTCACGACTAAAATATCGACGTTTATATATACCTTACCTTGAGGTCCTTCCGGCCCTTAGCGTTCCCCCGGCCCGCTCGTCCACCAAGCCTTCTGGTTGCCGGACTCGTCAACCACGCTCTTGGACGCGGCTCCTCGCAGCCTGACCTATCAGTCACAGCCTGCTTCATCAGGTATCCTTGCCACGTGCTTATCCAATTCTCTCTTCAACACAGTCAAGGCTCGTCCACTTATGCATCCAACAGGCTATATACGCCACCTGTAATATATTTTTTACCTTTAAAGTACCAAAGTGCCCATTCCATGATTGCCGGGAGGGGGAAATTGCTGTTGGCTATCCAACCGCACTATCAACACATTTTAAAGACACGGCCCGCGCGATTTCTAAGCCCAAACACTATCGACACTTATTCACTAGACTTAAGCACTTTCAAGAACCAACTGCATCCTCAAGCAAAAATAATTTGTCTACATCAAAAAATGCTAAATGACACTTTAAGGCTATAGTGTTTTCAATTAAAACACTCGCGATGATACCCGATATGGGCTGTAGTAGTGGTAAAACTGCCAATGGGGTATTTAACCACCCGTCAACCTCACAATACCCGCCAACTCCGCTATTCAAAAACAACAAGACACTTATCTATTCCATGCCGCAAATCTACTCCCTTTGTCTTAAAAAGAAATGTAACATCTAATTGCGACTAAATACCCTACACCACGGCCTATCCTCATCACGTACATTTTCTTACATTGTACTTATACAGTGGGTCACGATTAAATATACACTACTGCCTTACTGTTGGCACTAGGGCAAGTATAGCGTAAGTCGTAAAGTAGTTAATAAACTATTATGTCAGGTACGATTCAACACTTAAAGGACGTTATGAGCCTTTAAAATTCTTTATATGCCATCTTATATTGCCTACTCATCCTGTCTATTCAATTTACCGTTTACGAGTCTTATTACTCAATACTTTGTTATTGTACCCACTTCTCCCTGCAACATGGAACACTCGCTAAATATTTACAGCTTAACCATTTTAACCTCATCGTTGACAAACTTAATACAACTTTTCCTTTTTAAACAAACGGACGCTTTCAATTTATAATTCATTATCATTTCACAAACTCAACATTAACCCCTGCCAGACTACCTTCCTCTCAACTTCAACAGTATTCAATTTCACTATCATAACTACTCTCGGCCCCCTAATACGATATTCAAACCAGACATTAACACTCCTTTACTCTAGTAACGTTACCGAACTTACAACCTATCCCCACCCACCTATCTACGACAATTAGACCAAACACGATTCAGACACTTACTGCAAACTCTTCTTCACTAACACTTAAGTTGACGCGTCTCGCTGTGCTCTTCCACAGCCAAGGGGTCCCACAAATCTATCCGGTATTACCTGCAACAAGCCAACAGTTATTGCATCCTACCAATAGAAATCATGCAATCATCCGTATACCATACCTTTCAAACTTCTTACCATAAACTATTTTCTCGGATGTACCTCATTTCAAATGCAACTCTTCAACCCATCTAACCTCAATAGTCAACTGGTGTGACAGCTCTTATCTGTGGGTTGCCGCCCCCCGCGCCAGATACTATTAACCACTTCAATCTCATTACATACAAAACTATGTGCTCCTCCAATAACTAAGTACGGTTTCGTAATAAAATATTACAATGCCTAACAAAATAACTAATAAACAACTACTTGCCTTACCACATATGATCCAGCTATCAGTAGCACATCTTCCTAACCAAACCATCTGCCACCAGCTTCTGCTCGGCTGCCAGAGGTCTCACGTAAATCATCGCTCCACCACTGCTCCCATCACAACGTTAGTCTCCAAGATTCATACATCACCACTAGGCCAATTTCATGCGAGGCATCATATTACCACCATTACCTCATTCACTAACAATACACCTGAAAATAATTTTCATTCAGTATGTAATTAACATTTAATATTTCAGGACTAAAATATCTGCGTATACTCCCTCAAGAGGGTATATACGGCAGATTTTAATGTTTTTCGACCCTATGTATTCGCGTTTTGACGGTGTACAAATTCGGTGTAAGCTAGGGGTGTGTCAGCCCTAGCGACCCCAAAAGGGTAACGGGGTACCAGCTCAGAGTAACAACACGCCCTAACACTAACTTGTACACCAGTACTTTGCGAATACCAGGGTCAAAATAACGTTCCGTTGCTCCTCGCCGCGCAGGTCGACTCAACAGCCAATCACGTTCCGATTTTTCACTTGACGTCACATTCTCGCACGCTGTACTCTCATTGGTCGGCTCCTCCTAATTGCATACTCCAGTAATTCATCCACATTATTTACTGACACTTAAATATGTATACCCATTGTATGAGAAACATACATATACCTAATGTATGTGAAACAATCTTTTACATTACATTCACAATTGATGACTTTCCATTAATTATTACTAAATAAGTACTATTATAATTATTAAATATTAACAATACTTATTCAAGCTGTAAGTACAGAACAACACAGTACATTATAGCACATTAAACTTAAGTAGCCTAATATACATTGCACTACTATACATTGTACTAGTCTCCAGTACACTACTATACATTACAGTACACTAACATACGATGCGCAACAGCAAAGGGCTCAGTACTCTACAGTACAATACACAACAGTACAGTACCGTATACTACACTACACTACAGTCAAGTGCAGTACAGTACACTACAAGCTACAGTACCATAAACTACACTACACTAGAGTAAAGGGTACAGCACCTTACCCACCAATAACGTACAGTACACTCAAGAGTACAGTACATTCTTTTCTGGTACAGGGTACACTACACTTAAATATAATACACTACAGTACTGTACACTACAATACAGTACGATATACTACTGTACACGATACATTACAGTGCAATACAGTTCACTACAATACACTACACTATAATACTGTACAGAACACCTCACTACAGGGTACACTACAGTACAATACAATATACTCAACTAACGTAAACTACACTACATTACAGTATAATTTTTTTACGTACACTACAGTGCACGGCACAGTACAGGCTACAGTCAAATACAGTACACTATACTACACTACTCTACTGAACAATCCAGTACACTACACTACATTATTGCATAGTATATATGTATTCTTCAATATTGAAGAATATTCTCCAATATTAAAGAATATTCTTCAATATTGAAGATTATTCTTCAATATTGGAGAATATTCTTCAATATTGGAGAATATTCTTTAATATTGGAGAATATTCTTCAATATTGAAGAATATTCTTTAATATTGGAGAATATTCTTCAATATTGAAGAATATTCTTCAATATTGGAGAATATTCTTCAATATTGGAGAATATTCTTCAATATTGAAGAATATTCTTCAATATTGAAGAATATTCTTCAATATTGAAGAATATTCTTCAATATTGAAGAATATTCTTCAATATTGAAGAATATTCTTCTTCAATATTGAAGAATATTCTTCAATATTGAAGAATATTCTTCAATATTGAAGAATATTCTTCAATATTGAAGAATATTATTCAATATTGAAGAATATTGAAGAATATTGAAGAATATTCTTCAATATTGAAGAATATTCTTCAATATTAAGAATAATATTGAAGAATATTCTTCAATATTGAAGAATATTCTTCAATATTGAAGAATATTCTTCAATATTGAAGAATATTCTTCAATATTGAAGAATATTCTTCAATATTGAAGAATATTCTATTGAAGAATATTCTTCAAGAATATTCTATTCTTCAATATTGAAGAATATTCTTCAATATTGAAGAATATTCTTCAATATTAAGAATAATTCTTGAATATTAATATTCAATATTGAAGAATAATATTGAAGAATTCAATATTGAAGAATATTATTCAATATTGAAGAATATTCTTCAATATTGAAGAATATTCTTCAATATTGAAGAATATTCTTCAATATTGAAGAATATTCTTCAATATTGAAGAATATTCTTCAATATTGAAGAATATTCTTCAATATTGAAGATTCTTCAATATTGAAGAATATTCTTCAATATTGAAGAATATTCTTCAATATTATTCTTCAATATTGAAGAATATTCTTCAATATTGAAGAATATTCTTCAATATTGAAGAATATTCTTCAATATTGAAGAATATTGAAGAATATATTGAAGAATATTCTTCAATATTGAAGAATATTCTTCAATATTGAAGAATATTCTTCAATATTGAAGAATATTCTTCAATATTGAAGAATATTCTTCAATATTCTTCAAGAATATTCTTCAATATTGAAGAATATTCTTCAATATTGAAGAATATTCTTCAATATTGATTCTTAATCTTCATTTGAAGAATATTCTTGAATATTATTCTTCAATATTGAAGAATATTCTTCAATATTGAATTGAAGAATATTCTTCAATATTGAAGAATATTGAAGAATATTCTTCAATTCTTGAAGAATATTCTTCAATATTGAAGAATATTCTTCAATATTGAAGAATATTCTTCAATATTGAAGAATATTCTTCAATATTGAAGAATATTCTTCAATATTGAAGAATATTCTTCAATATTGAAGAATATTCTTCAATATTGAAGAATATTCTTCAATATTGAAGAATATTCTTCAATATTGAAGAATATTCTTCAATATTGAAGAATATTCTTCAATATTGAAGAATATTCTTCAATATTGAAGAATATTCTTCAATATTGAAGAATATTCTTCAATATTGAAGAATATTCTTCAATATTGAAGAATATTCTTCAATATTGAAGAATATATATTGAAGAATATTCTTCAATATTGAAGAATATTCTTCAATATTGAAGAATATTCTTCAATATTGAAGAATATTCTTCAATATTGAAGAATATTCTTCAATATTGAAGAATATTCTTCAATATTGAAGAATATTCTTCAATATTGAAGAATATTCTTCAATATTGAAGAATATTCTTCAATATTGAAGAATATTCTTCAATATTGAATTGAAGAATATTCTTCAATATTGAAGAATATTCTTCAATATTGAAGAATATTCTTCAATATTGAAGAATATTCTTCAATATTGAAGAATATTCTTCAATATTGAAGAATATTCTTCAATATTGAAGAATATTCTTCAATATTGAAGAATATTCTTCAATATTGAAGAATATTCTTCAATATTATTCTTCAATATTGAAGAATATTCTTCAATATTGAAGAATATTCTTCAATATTGAAGAATATTCTTCAATATTGAAGAATATTCTTCAATATTGAAGAATATTCAATATTGAAGAATATATTGAAGAATATTCTTCAATATTGAAGAATATTGAAGAATATTCTTCAATATTGAAGAATATTCTTCAATATTGAAGAATATTCTTCAATATTGAAGAATATTCTTCAATATTGAAGAATATTCTTCAATATTGAAGAATATTCTTCAATATAATATTGAAGAATATTCTTCAATATTGAAGAATATTCTTCAATATTGAAGAATAATATTTAAGAATATTCTTCAATATTATAGAATATTCTTCAATATTGGAGAATATTCTTCAATATTGAAGAATATTCTCCAATATTGAAGAATATTCTTCAATATTGAAGAATATTCTTCAATATTGAAGAATATTCTTCAATATTGAAGAATATTCTTCAATATTGAAGAATATTCTTCAATATTGAAGAATATTCTTCAATATTGAAGAATATTCTTCAATATTGAAGAATATTCTTCAATATTGAAGAATATTCTTCAATATTGAAGAATATTCTTCAATATTGAAGAATATTCTTATTGAAGAATATTCTTCAATATTGAAGAATATTCTTCAATATTGAAGAATATTCTTATTGAAGAATATTCTTCAATATTGAAGAATATATTGAAGAATATTCTTCAATATTGAAGAATATTCTTCAATATTGAAGAATATTCTTCAATATTGAAGAATATTCTTCAATATTGAAGAATATTCTTCAATATTGAAGAATATTCTTCAATATTGAAGAATATTCTTCAATATTGAAGAATATTCTTCAATATTGAAGAATATTCTTCAATATTGAAGAATATCTCTATTGAAGAATATTCAATATTGAAGAATATTCTTCAATATTGAAGAATATTCTTCAATATTGAAGAATATTCTTCAATATTGAAGAATATTCTTCAATATTGAAGAATATTCTTCAATATTGAAGAATATTCTTCAATATTGAAGAATATTCTTCAATATTGAAGAATATTCTTCAATATTGAAGAATATTCTTCAATATTGAAGAATATTCTTCAAGATTATTCTTCAATATTCTTCAATATTGAAGAATATTCTTCATATTGAAGAATATTCTTCAATATTGAAGAATATTCTTATTGAAGAATATTCTTCAATATTGAATATTCTTCAATATTGAAAATATTGAAGAATATTCTTCAATATTATTCTTCAATATTGAAGAATATTCTTCAATATTGAAGAATATTCTTCAATATTGAAGAATATTCTTCAATATTGAAGAATATTCTTCAATATTGAAGAATATTCTTCAATATTGAAGAATATTCTTCAATATTGAAGAATATTCTTCAATATTGAAGAATATTCTTCAATATATGAAGAATATTCTTCAATATTGAAGAATATTCTTCAATATTGAAGAATTCTTCATATTGAAGAATATTCTTCAATATTGAAGAATATTCTTCAATATTGAAGAATATTCTTCAATATTGAAGAATATTTGAAGAATATTCTTCAAGAATATTCTTCAATATTAAGAATTCAATATTGAAGAATATTCTTCAATATTGAAGAATATTCTTCAATATTGAAGAATATTCTTCAATATTGAAGAATATTCTTCAATATTGAAGAATATTCTTCAATATTGAAGAATATTCTTCAATATTGAAGAATATTCTTCAATATTGAAGAATATTCTTCAATATTGAAGAATATTCTTCAATATTGAAGAATATTCTTCAATATTGAAGAATATTCTTCAATATTGAAGAATATTCTTCAATATTGAAGAATAATATTTCAATAATATTCTTCAAGAATATTCTTCAATATATTCTTCAATATTGAAGAATATTCTTCAATATTGAAGAATATTCTTCAATATTGAAGAATATTCTTCAATATTGAAGAATATTCTATTGAAGAATAT